GCTATACGATCACATAATGCAAGAGGAGCCTTCTCAGACTGTTGTTTTGCACCTGGAAGAGTTTGCACATACTTCTGAGAACGACAGTTTTTCTGATGTTCGCTATCTTCTGCATGCTTTAATAAAGCTTTTTTACCATTGTTAGCATAATTTAATTTTTTTCCACAGAGAAAGCAAAAACAATGACCCACTTCTTTTAATTTCCTACACCACTCCACATGTAAAATACCACCTGAATCTTTTTCTTGAAGCCACTCCCATCGCCATTTATTTTTAATTCCAACATCATACGTTGGTTTATTGGAGTTGACATATTCTATTGTAAAAATAATCAACTTTAACACATTATACAACGCCAACTAAGTAATCAAACGCAGTAAAAAGTTTACCATCCGACGATCAATGCCAGATTCAATTTCCCGCTAAGTTAAGTCTGTGAAGAAAGAATTTTTCTCCTGCTTCCCAGTAACGAAGGCCAATCCACTAGCGCTTTAGTTTTCATTCGCAATCTATGACGTCATGCTTCCTGACGTCACCTTACTCCGTGACTTAGTGCGTTATCGCATTTTTTGCGCTTATGTGAATAATTTGACTTTACTTCTAAATTTTAGGAAGAAATAAACGGGAAAAGATATTTTCCTGAAATAATTATCGAAAAAAAAAACATTTTTAGCAATGTATACATATATTTTATTTTTAAAATGTTTTTTTTTTCAAATTTAAAATTGAATTTCCGAATTTGATATTTTTTAACAGGACAGAATTCCGTCCCCAAGACGGAGGAGTGGCACCCCTGCTGATGATACAATACACTAATTTTTAATTGCCTCTTCAAGCAATCTCTTTCTGACATATAACCATTCAAATATTACAGACTGCTTTTTCGGCAGATATTCCTACATATTTGTACATGTTTATACAATTTTCATATTTTATTATAATAATAACACAACAAGTCAGTTTTTGAAGATGAACCTTGTAATTTAAAATTGATCTAGTTCATTTTCCTTCCTAATCATGAATCGAAAAAAAAATCATTCAGTTGTTTAAGATAAGTCTTACCTTTTGAAGTTCAACTTAATGAATTTATTAGAATACAACACATTTATAAACATTGTTCTCACTTTCAATAAAACAATGGATTAAAAAAATTGTAACAATCGAACAGTTACAGTTAAAATTAAATGAAGCAAAAGTACCTGACAGTTCTGTCATCAGCAGCACTAACAACTCTCTTATCATCGTTAAAAAACAAGGCTTTTTTTACAGCAGAAGTATGGCCAACAAGACAATCACCACCTAATAAAATAAAAAAACTCAATTAAAATACTCATGAAATATACAAATTTTGCTTTGATCTGGTCCTCAAACAGAAATCTTTCACTACACATTTTTGAATAGTCTTATAGTACTCTTATGGAAATAAATAATAATTGATTGAAGTTATACTGTGGTACAAAAAGTTAAAAAAAAAAAAAAGGTCATTGCTACACAATTAAAAAAATATATGTAGTTTAATTATTACTATATTTTTATCCTACACAAAATATTGCTTTAAGAATTTTCTTTTGTTTCGTCATTAGAAGAAATACTAAGGTTTGTGAAAATTGTAATTGATACCTTAAAAGAATGAAATTCTTTATTCCAAGAAACAATTACAAAGAAAAATAATCATCAAAACTTAAAATAACTTTAAGCTACAAATATACGATAGAAGTGGATTTACTGTTTGAGAAACATGCATAGCAAAACTCTCTTACAATATTACTAATTCTAATATTAATACTCCTAGAATTAATAAAAATGCGCACTTTAAAATTTACTTATTTTATTTTAAAATTAGAAATTTCGTTAATGAACAGTTTTTTTTAACATTTAGAACACATTTTAATTTTAAGTATATCTGGCTAGTTTCAGGTTTGAGGAAATTAAGAATTTAAAAGTATAAACCAGTGTATAGGGTGACCGTTCACACCCCAAAATTTTATGAAAATGTCCACTGTTTTGAATGTTTATATCGACTTAAACACCAGACAGACATTCATTGATCATAAAATATTGATGCATTATAAACAATGAGATATCAATAACGATGTATCACAGACTTACCGTCAGCTGTCAACTTATACTCCTGACATACTTGAAATTTGCTAACTCATGATCAAAAAAAGGGAGTCAAGTTATATAAAAAGTTATGCATTATTTTTGGAAAAAATATTAAATAAAAAATTAGAAATTTTAATTAACCATAAAAATTACGCATGTATAAGTCAAGGAAAATAAATATAAACAGAATTCATAAAATTACTATTCTCAGTCTTGACTAAGTTAAAAATGCGAGCTTTCTTGTCATTTGATGAAGTAAGCAATTTTGATTCATCAGAATTGAAGTGAACACTTTTCACAATATGAGGATGGGGGAAGGTATGTAGCTCTTCTCCACTAACAGCATCCCAAAGCTAAAATAAAAGTGATATTTATCAAATCCAAGTTTACTAAAACAATATTTTCAAATAAGTTGAAGTAAATTTAAATATCTTTAATCAAAATTAAATGTACAATGAACTCAAAATAGTAAGTATTGCATACATGTAACATAAATTTAAAGGAACTAATTCAATTCAAAACACTCTTTGCATAAACAATCTTTAAACGACTGCATATCTTTTCAGGTTTACAAATTAAAACTGAAGAAGAGTTTAAAAATGCTAATAAATTTTAAAATCTAAAACAAAACACAATAAAACATAAAAGCAACCTAAATGATTATATAAATATACGTGTAGCTATTAAATTTTTAAAAAATCATACCGACTAAGATAAAAGAAAAAACGAGCCAAGAAAATTTTCTAAACAGTCTTAAAAATATTTTAAAATTTAATATATATTACAAGGTTATCATAAAAAAAGAAAAAAATTTGGAAGATGTATCAACCTTAGCTTCAAAATCTGCAGACCCAGAAGCAGCTTTAGATGCATCTTTATTCAAAGCCACACCCCAAACTGCACCTTTGTGACCAACAAATGTTCCAATCCAATCTCCAGTATCTCCTTGCCTTAACATAGGTTTCCCATCTATAAAATAAATTCAGCTATAACTTAAATAGTTTGCATAAAATGAACATTAAATGCTCTTCATACCAAAGAATTAATTTAACTATTATAATTAATCATTAGTGATTTCTTTGATTGCTGAATTGCATGTACGTCATTGGCTAAGGAAAAGGCAGTAGGTCTATGATCTCATCAATAATTAGAAATCAATATAAGTGCTTAATATTTAAAACAAGTAAAGACAAGAAACTGCGAAATGTTTCAAAATTAATTCTATCATTCATAATGGTTAACTTTGTTTTTACACATAATTACATCAATACAGATAATTTTTATTGATGCTAAATTTTATTCATCCTTTTGGTTTTTACGATGACAACAGATGAAATTTTCAAACTTAGAAAATGGCATTGACTAAACTTAAATTTTTTTGCAAAAAAATGTGTACCTTTGATAAGATTTCAAAGTCAATGGCAGTAATTCTTAAGAACGACTAACCTCCATTAATGGCAAGTTTACTGTAGAACAGAGAATGATCGCTGCCAAGAGATTTCATTTTATCTATAATTGCATTACACTTATCTATTAGCTGGAGAGCAGCAAAGCTTTTTAAAAATTGCTAGGTCCTAATCAAACTTTGACCTCGGAAAGCTTTCATTTTTATGGCAAAACACAGAAAAAATATTACAATGGAAAAAAAATCTATTTTCACAGCAGGTATATTGTTAATTTCTTATATAATTAATTGCTAGGACAAAAATCTTCCTAAACACTTTAAAAACTTTATAATTTTGGGCGTTAGGATAACATGTATGCTGTTTAATCAAACCGAATAAAAATGTATGAAGTTGTTCTAAGAAAAACGATCAAAAGTTTGCAAAATTTTATTCAATGCATTTAACTACAATCAAACGGTCAATCGGTGGATTTCAATTTGTACATAATCCATCATATTGCACAGGATTGCAAAATCTGAATGAATCTGTATAATAATCGATCTGTATAAACTTTGATTACGCTTTAGGAATGCTAAGAAAATCTGCCATGAAATTTATTTCATTTTTGCATATTTAAGAATAATGCTTACACAAATACATATACGATGCCAAAAAAATTTTCAACCAGATACTGAAAAAAATATGTGAGTGAAATAAAAAACATCTTACCTTTACAAGCTGATATTAAAAAATAACCAGAAGGAGTAATAGAACTGAAGGCTAAATCAACTACTGGTCGTGTGTGGCCACTGCACGTAAGTGCAGTTTGACGTAAACCAGACATTTTAAAGAATAGATTAAGAGTGAATTTTTTTTGCAGTGATATTAAAAGTAGAAATTTAATTATCCAGTATGAAGTAAATTTTGCATCGGCTGCTTTCGTCGTATTAGAAAGTAAACAAAAAATATTTCGCACGAGAATGAGAGTTACGGTTGTAGGTAAAAGCTGGTTACTCTTAATTTTAAAGAGATTGATTTAACTTAAGGCTATTGATTTAAATATGATTGAAAGTAAGTTTTGAATAATAACTTTCAATAATTGAAATGTTGTTGAAAATGCTGTATTTTTAAAAATATAAATTTTGAGTTAAGGTTTTAATTGCAGGCTGTAACTGTAACAAGCAGTCAGGTTGTTTGTTTTGATTTTCGAATTCGACTTGTTTTCGGGAAAAGAAACTTAAATTTAAAGGTCTAAAATTTATTAGATTGTTTGTCCTTTTTATAATTATATTGTTAGGATTAGTGTTATTTGAAAGTAAATTCTAATATTTTAAAAATCATTCCATATAGTTAAGATATAATTTTTTGCTCCTTATTACTGAGCAATGTTCTATTGATCATATTATTTTGATTAATAAAGATGTTTCTGCACATTTTTTTTATTCATTGCTTAGAATTTATGAAAAATCGAATTTTAAATTTTTGCATTTAATAGGTATGGAGGAGTGTAAAGAATTTCAGCTTCCATCAAAAGGAGTATTTACTATGGCTGATATGGAAAAGTGGGAACAATCAGAGGTAAAGCAATTAGCTGAGTTAATATCTAAACGATAAGGTTTTTAAAAAATATAGTAACAGATTACAGCCGGGATATTTCCGCATCGTGATCTGTTGCGCCAACTACAATCGCCAAAGTGCCAAAAAGATTTTAAACTTGCATATTTTTTAAAAAAAATATCATGTAGAGTTATATCTTTCGAACTGGTCCTTTTCTGTGATTTTTGCCTACTGTGCCCATCTCAGTTTTCTTGACCTTGGGCTCTGGAGTGCAGAAGCAAATGATTGATGATTTTTGTTTAAAGCAAAATATTTATAATCAGTTTTTAAAAGTAAACGGAAAGGTTGATGGAAATAAGCTTCATAGAACAGTTTGAATTTTTAACAGATAAAGAAACTTTTTTGTCATTATTAATTACTGAAGTCATGGCATGAAGCACTTATTGAAGCCATGGCATGTTGCCTTTATCGCATCAGTTGAAATTAGTAATTTACATGAGACAATTTTCTTACTAATATATCAAAATTATTTTTAATTTTATATTAAAAATTGCATTTCATAATGGATTTATTATTGTTTAGGCTTATCATGACACTTTGGGCTTTATTTTGGCAATGAGTGAAGCTGTTAAAGGAAAAAAGATATCTGATGTTCCGAAAAGTTCTGAGGTAAGTATTTAGATTGTAAAAACGTGTGCCGAGCTCTATGCTTTAGCTTTGTATTTCCATTAATGAAGCCTATGTTTGTGGCTAAATTGATAGCAGGAAGTTGAATTATCATCTGCTTGTTTCTCTTGTTAAAATAATTATTCTTTATTTATATTCAGTGTTATGGAGAACAATTAAATTCAATAAAGATTTATCGTTATATAAAAGAAAATGAAAAAAAAAAAATAGATCATTAGCTCAAACTGTCCAAAAAAGACCAGACCTTGTAGAACAGAATCTAGTGTTATGAAGATAAAATTGTAAGACCAAATTTGATTCAGACATAACAGCACAGTATATCATACCCACAAACAAAATATTGCCTCATATTGATAAAATTTTGTATGAACAACATACTAACTTGTACTTATTGTAACACTTTGCATATAGATGATTATTTAGGAATTAGACTGCAAATGAATCATTCGTCAGTTATAGATAATCTAAGAGTGTACTGTACTTCAATAAAAGTTTTAAGTTATTGTAATTTATATTAGTATTAAATCCACCCAAAATTTTTTTGTCTTATTAAGATCTTGCACGGACAAAATACTAGTAAGTGAACTGTAGTGACTGCACTCGTGTGAGTCAAAAAAAGCTTTTTAAACTTAACATGAATAGCTTGAAGAAGATCATCTTCTCACTGTTTACTGCACCCTCAGGAGATACCTCTACATTATTGGTATTGCACCTGATCCTCTTTGTCGTGGTTGTCATGTTGAAGAGGAGACTTACGACATATCCTTTGTAAGTGTGATTTCTATTCTGCTCAAAGATTTGAGCATCTGAGACGACATTGTGTTAAGACCTGGGAACTACAGGATATTCCTGTCTGGAGTTTGCTGAATTTTGAATTGAGTCCTGTTTTATACTTTTAACTGCAACTTGTTTACATTTTACTATGGTATAGCCCATTTTTAAGTTTTTAACATTCTTATTGCATAAGTATAATTTTATTTTATTAATTTACCTAATAAACTTGTTCATGTTAATGTTATTTTGTAATTTTTGCTTTTTCTACTTAATTAAATATTTTTTTAAAAAATTTTATGTACTGTTAATTGTAAAAAAATTAAAACAGTTCTGACCATTTTTGGACAGTTGAAATCACATTTTGTTGGCTAATATCATATTTATCCAGTGTCCTGTTCAAAATCAGTTTTGGATAGTTAAAGTTAGACCTTTGTCTTTAAACAATCAAGAATTTATTTTTGCTAAAAGTTATAAATTTTTAAAATTTTTAATTCTTTGTAGGCTGTTTCTAAAATGTGCAATTTGTTAGAAAAAGTCGATACATTCATTGATGAAATACCTCCTGTAGAGCAACCTCAAAGATTTGGAAACAAAGCCTTTCGGGATTTTTATGCAAAGATAAAAGTGGTAAAATATTATTCCAATTTTATATTTTAAATTTTCCTCCTTCTTAAAATAACAATTTTTTTAACAAAAATTTCCCCAGGAAGCTGAACCTTTATTAAAAGATGTTTTACCTGAATCACTACATCCTAGTATAGTGGAGCTGTCTGTGTATCTTAGTGAAAGTGTCGGTAACTCCACCAGAATTGATTATGGAACCGGTAATTTAAACTAACTCTTGCATTTCTTCTTTTATTAAAATATAAAATATTTTGATTTCCTATTTTTCTCAATAAAATTTATTGAAATTTTTGTTTTTTTCAATAAACTTGTTTCTTTTTGTTCATATTTTCATTTTATTGATCATTTGATTGAATTTGGGTGTATGCTGCACAACCCTAAATTATATTTTTTAGAGAGAAAACGAAATTGTTTGAATCGAAATATTCAAAATGACACTTGCAAACGGAACGGACATTTGAAAACGGATTTACTTCTCATTTGTGAAAGTTTTTTTTTACTACTAAAACAATATTTTTCTTTGAAAGAAAAGTTAAAACCAATTTTTAAAATATACATTTTTAGCTGGCATTCAGTTTTATTTATAATTATAATTTTTATGTTAATGTGCATTGAAAATTTTATCTGTAATATTTTATTTTGGAACTGTTATTAAACAATATGCTTGAGTTTACTATACATTTACTACTTTAAATCTTTTATTTGATTTAAAATATCTTAAGTAGCATACATTTGTAAATTATTTTTATTCATTGATTAAAAAAGAATAATAATCTGTTTACAAAATTAAACCACATTTTGACTACTTTATTTTCTGTAGCTTTTTGATCTTTAAAAAAATTTCAAAGTGATTAATGTTAATAATTAAAAATAGTTAATCATATAATAATGCTTCCAGTCTCACATTTATCAGCATCCTTCATTAACAATTTACTGAATAGACACTATTAAAACTAAGTTTGATTTTGTCTCATAAATTTTTTGATTGTTATTTCTTCTACTTCTCATGGCAATTTATTTTAGGTCATGAGTTGTCTTTTGCCATGTTTCTTTGCTGCCTTTTCAAACTTGGAGTGTTTAAAACAGATGAGGGTGATCAAGTAATTTTACATATTTTTGACAGGTTATTTAGTATTTTTTAATACTATTATTTCTATGTCCAGAATATATTTATTGTTTTATTAAATAATGGATTCATTTTTAGGTATTTAACTTTAGCAAGAAAATTGCAAGTAACATATAGAATGGAACCAGCTGGTAGTCATGGTGTATGGAGTCTGGATGATTATCAGTTTTTACCTTTTATTTGGGGCAGTTCTCAATTAATAGGTAAAAAATCTCTAGTTTAAACATATTTTCTTAAAACTATTTATGCTGATTTTCCTAATAACATGTGAACTTGTTATACTTGCCAGCTTCTAAAGTCTTGCAATAATGTTTAAATGTATATGTCATTTTTTTTTATACAAAAAAAAAAAAAAATCTTTAGAGCACAATAGTAAATAAAGATTGTGTTAATTATGAAGAAATGCTTGTACAGTTGATGTTTTTCTCTTATGTAATGTATAAAAAACAGCAAAATTATGGCTTATAAATTGATAAAGCTAAAATCAAGCATTGTCAATTTCAATTTTACAATATTCCTTACTAATGCTCCTCAACTAATTTGTTCTTGTTAAGCTATAATTGCTTAGATTCATTATCATCATCATAGTTGGCCAGACAGTTCAATATGAGCCAATGCCTTCCTCTGAAGATTTCTCCATAACGACTTCCGATTTATCTTTGTTCTCCAATTCTTTTCATTAATTGCAAGAAAATCAGACTCCACTGAGTCAGCCCATCTCAACCGCGGCCTTCCCTGCTTTCTTGTTCCAGTGGATCTAAACAGCAGTATCTTTTTTATTGTGTTGTCATCACTCATTCGAATCATGCGGGCCATCCAATTCATTCTATTTCATTATATGTATTTAATAATATCAGGTTGTTTATAAATCTTGTACAGTTCAAAGTTAAATCTCCTGCTCCAGTCATTGTTTTCATTTACACCAATAAGTATACTCCGCAAAATCTTTCTCTCAAATATTGCGATTCAATTTTCCTCCAGTTTTGTCATTGTCTAAGCTTCAGAAGCGTATGTCAAGACTGGCCAGACAAGAGCTTTGTTTTTCTAGAAAGAAACTTAGATTTAATAGATCTTCTCAGTCCATTGACAGTCCTATTTTCCGGATAGAGTTTTTTTTTTATTTCAGGAGTTGTTCAATAGTAATAATTGATCAATTGCTTAGATTAGCTTCTTATAATTTCTTTTGCTCATTAAACATTTGATATTTTAATTCTTATGCTCGATAAACTTATTAATTACACTATAGTCCAATTTACATGAGAACTCCACTCTACTAAAAGTCTGTTGTTATGGGAACAAGATTAATATAATTTCTTGTGGGGAAGAACAAGAGAAATAACAAACTCTCCAAACTTAAACCAATGAGAAATGGCCTAATACATATCCCTGTTTAAAGTGACTTATTTTCATTGTCTTTATAACCTTAGTAACCCCCGACACACGAATCTGGTACCTCGAATAGTTTTCTTGAGCGCTAAAGAGTACAACGCTTCATTGTATAACCATTTTTGAAGCACTTTTTTTTTACCTTAATCTAGTAGTGACATAATAGTTACCACTGTTTATCAATTTAAAAATACTATTCAACGCTTTTCATTTTTGAATCACTTTTTTTTAACCTTAAATCTAATTGTGACATATTGGTTACATCTATTTATAAGTTTAAAAAAATATTCATAATTAATACATAATGCTTTTGCTTTTAATATTTTTTTTTTTTTTTTTTTTAAATGTACAGAGGCTCTATTGAAATTATTACAAGCATGTTTGTAAAGATATTTAATAAGCTATAAGCCATGCCTAAAAAATTTTATGTTTGATGTTTTGATTGTTTATCTAGAACATTAATTTATTCTAGCTAATCTTAAAAACAGTTAGTTACCATTGGATATCTAATGTTTTTATGTACTCTGAAGCTTATTTTTAAAAATAACAATATCACTTTATTCATAACACTTGATTCATTGTATTATTATCTTATAAGCATTCTATCTTTCGTGGCTAATGTTGTAGGAATTTTTTTCATAACTCAGATTATTGAATAATTTAAAATGAAACTAGTTCTTAATTTAATCACATTTGTTTTTATATTTTTATGAGGCTTCTTTAATTATTGCATTGTTATCAGATTAATTTTTGATGAAAGCTAATTTTACCTAAAATTTTGCAAACAAATTAATTTCAAGTGCTTATGATGTATTAATAATTAATATAGAGAACACTTAATACAAAATATTTATTGTACTACTTTTTTAAGAAAAAAATTCTGAATAATCTGTTTTTTTCTTTCTTATTTTAGTACATTATCTTAATTCTAATTCTTTCTATTTTTCTAATGATATGATGTTTTATTTGTATAAATATGTTATTCAAAATAATTATTTTTTACTTTGAGCAGACTTAAAATTATATATACAGTGTTTTCATCATAGAAAAAAAAATGGGTGAGAATTTCTAACCCTTTCTCAAAAACAGGGTGAGATTTCAAAAAGTTAAGTGAGATTTCTGAAAACTAAAAAAACACAAAAACTCTTGGAAAAAAAATCATTTCTTTAATTATAATACATTTTTAACGTCTTTAATTTTTTAAAGCATTGAATATTTTTGGTGCATCATCATAGAAGATTTTGCCTTTACAAGATATTTGTCCATCTTACATAAGTGCATAAAAAATTTGAAGGTCTTACATGAAGAAACCTTACCTACGGTAAACACGTGGTTGCAGAGAAATGTATTCTGAAAGGGGTTTCGTGGTTGTGTTCTGTTGATAGAAAAGTTTCTGAACAATACTGGTAAGTAGGGAGGCTAGATAATGGGGCAGATGTTGAAAATAATGAAAGATCCAGGTAGAAAAGTGAAACAGATTTTATTGTAAATGGCGTAATTCGAAGCTTTTTCCAAAATGCGAGAAATTGGCGAATTTTGAAATTGATTTATAGAATGCGCGAATTTCTCGTGGTAATAATTTTTTAATGCGAGAAAAGATAAAATTTTCGAGATTCTCGCTTTCTCGCGCTGTAGTGAAAACACTGATATATATATATATAGAGAGAGAGAGAGAGTATTTTTATTTAAAAAACCGGGGGGAAAAGATATCTTTTCATCAGCCCACACGATTATATCCGCAAAACAGAGTGCTTTCTGATATTGTATCAATAAAGCCGAATCAAAATATATTAAGACAAAAGTGTGAGGAGCACTCAAAAATTTTTTTTACAAAAATTGCAACAAATAAAATAGAACACAAAAAGTAAAAATAAGTAAAGATAGCATGTAAAAACAGAAAATAAAATAAAATAAAAGAAAAAAACAGTATAAAAAAGGACTATAAAGCGAGTAATGAAATCAGATCTACTTACATGGACGGGAAAGTCTATTTTTTATACTGTTTTTTCTCTTTCTTTTCTGTTTTTACATGTTATTTTTACTTATTTTTACTTTTTGTGTTCTATTTTATTTGTTGTAATTTTTGTAAAAAAATTTTTTGAGTGCTCTTCACACTATTGTACTAATATATTATGCTTTGGCTTTATTGATACAATATCAGAAAGCACTCTGTTTTGCGGATATAATCGTGTGGGCTGATGAAAAGATTATATCTTTTTTTTCTTCTGGTTTTTTTAAATAAAATTTCATTTTTTTTTTTTAAACTGTTGTTTGTTATTTTTTTTACTTATTATTTCCCCCCCCCCCTTTTTTTTTCTCCATATGTCTCTAATTTTTCTTTGCTTTATCTTCATTTTGAACTTATCTAATGAGTTCTGTTTACTTGCAGCTTAAGCACTATAAATGAAACTTATTGTTTTTCTTAACTTTCTTCGTGTTTTCTTGTATATATATATATATATTTTATAAAATATTATGTAGTGAAACTTTTATTGCTAAAAAGTATATACTAATTATACATAAAAAAAAATGATTTTAGCAATAGATATATTTTTGTGTGATTCTTCTCTGATGGTTTGTAGGTCATAAACGTCTTGAGCCACGATCTTTAACAGATGAAGATATGGCTGTATCTTTTGCTAAAGATTATATGTTTATGGGATGTATAAAGTTTATTAATCAAGTAAGTTTTTTTGGTGCAGTGTAGTATATCTTACTTTAATACTTAATGCACCATATTCCCTTTCGCAAGTTTACCTTCTTTTTGTAAACATAGATTTTATTATCCCAGTACACATTATTACTCTTTCCTCCTTTTGTTGTGTGTCAGACTCTTATGAATTCACTGTTTTATATTGTTGCACTGCGTATATTTGTGTACGAGAAGATTTAGCTACTTTTAACTTTTGTGCAATAAAATTTAAATTTTAACTAGTTAACCTTAATATAAGGAAATTAGTATTAATATATTTCCTTAATTTAGCATGTGTCATCAGTTTAAAATTATGACTTTTTCCCAATTGTTTAAAGTTTCTACAGTATACTTTTGTCTCAAAATACACTATTAATAACTTTAATTTTTTTTTTGAATTAATAAATTGTTTATACAATTTCTTATTTCCTTTCTCTTTTAGCCATTTTTTAAAATTGGATCATTTCTTTTGAAAGAAGTTTTTTATATCATCCTTTAAGAAGTTTCAACAGAAAGAATGTTATTTCTAAATTCATTCCATTCCTCAATCATCAAAATTTTTTTAAGAAATAGATATTTTTTTCTCCACCCTCCCACATGCTTATTAATTTTAATTTGTATATATTTCTGCAGATATATTTTATATGATTTCAGTTGATTTTGAATTTACACCCATGTGACTAGAGATTGATTATTATGCATTATAATTCTTGATTATTATGCATTATAATTCAATTCATAATATATATTCTGTTATATATATATTCATTATATTATATATTCTGTTTAGTTTCTTTTATTCTGTTGTGCCTTTATTTTACAATTAGTTTGAATTATTTGTTGATAATGGTTTATACTATTATATTAATTCCTTAAAGTTTTTCAAGTGCAATTTTTTATTCTTTATATACATATTGATTTTTTACTTATTCTTTATATTTACATTGATTATAGTTGATTAAAATTCTGGAGGGAATCTATGCTTTGTTTAAAAATGTTCAAAATTGAAGCTAAGAAAAGGATCACAACACATGTGTTCTTATATGACACATGTGTGGCACTCAAAGGCTTTCTGTGTGACAAATATCCCTGCCCCATCTTGGAACAAACAATTAGAATTTTTATCAATTTTAATTCTATTTTAAATTCTATTTCAATTCAATTTTTTTAATGAAAACTCTCTAATTGAAATAGTTTTTTCTTATTCATTCTCAAAGAAAAAGGTACCAAATGCCAGGTAAAAAGTACCTCTTCCATGATTGTCATTTTTTTCTTAATAACTGTGCATAAAAATAAAAATAGTCATCGGTAAAAGTATAATAGTTATTACATTTATATAGTTTTAAAAATAGTTGGATCTGGGAACATGGAGTGCTCTGTGAGTTGGCAGATTTAACATGCACCAGTCATCGTTTACTACACGGGGAGTCTTTGGTCGGTGGGGATTGAACTCCCAACCTCTCGAACATGGCCCCAACACTCTACCAAACAGGCTATCCTGCCCCTCACCCCCTAAAAAAATCTAACAAAGGGATGAAAACAGATCAGAATAAATGCGTACAAACTAGTACATAATATGTTTTAGTTGCCCTTCTTTTGGACTAGTGACTTTATTTTTTCCCCAAATGTGTTTCTAGTTAATGGTCATATAATAAAATCGTGTGGAAAACTAGCTTTAGATTAATGTTATTCACATTTTAATATGCTTAAATGTTTGTCATTTCAATTTTTTTTAAAATCATTTAGTTGATCATTTGTTTCTGTAATGTCTGTATTTTATGAATTTGAGTTACAGATGTTTTTTTTTTAGAAAACAATACTATCCATCAGAATCATTCATCAAGTGTTATGTTTTAAATAAATATCTTTTATTCATGCAGGTAAAAACAGGGCCATTTTCAGAGCATTCTAACCAGCTATGGAATATAAGTGGAGTTCCAACATGGGACAAAGTCAATTCTGGTCTGATAAAAATGTACAAAAAAGAGGTATGTCAATTTGAACATTAACTGTGGGTTTTTTTTTTAAAGGAGCATGACCCGAGTATTAAAATAATGAATATAAACAGCTATAAAATTAATATAATTATAAATATAAACAGCTAATAAAGTTTTTAGCGATAACGAAAAAAGTTTGAATAGTTAAGTTCTTTCAATAGGTTCTAATTTGGAATAACAAAATAATGAACACGATTAAAAGATTCAGATTTGAAATAGTTATCTATAAAATCCTTTTTCTTTTTATTGATATCTCTGAAGTATGGTTCAGTGGATAAGGATCATTGTGAACGATCTGGGTTACATACTTCATTGTGGCTAGTGATGTTGCTACATATACTGCTACATACTTATTTTGATCTCTAAAATGTTGCTTTATTTTTCTTGACCCTGGCTGACAATTGGTTCTTGCAAGAGTGCTTGACTTTACTTTATTTAAGTTTTTTTAGTCTTATAAGTTATATAAGTTTTTTAGTCTTATAAGTTTTTTTTTTAGTCTTATAAGTTTTTAAAAAAAATTTTTTTTTTATATAATTGAATAATTTAATTATTTATTCAGTCTTAAAAAATTTGACTTCACTAAAAGTTTCTATTTTTTAAAAAACTACCAGGGTAACAATACTTTTGTTTATTATAAATGAAATTTAAAGTAATTGTAAATTTTTTAATGATAAAATATTACAGTTATAAATGAATTAGTTTCATTATTGCCCAAAAATCCCTTTTTTTTGTAATTACTAGCTTGTTTTCAAGTTACTTATAATTAATTACTTTTTTTAGTTACTGTTACTTATGAATTAATGTCTTTATTGTTTACTAATTGAACTGCTTATATGCAGGGTTATATTTAAGACTGTCTGTTTCAAACATTGAATAAAAACTAAAACCAGAATTTAAATAAAGTATTTTTTTTTCTTTTTGAAACTTACATGTATATTTTGCATTTGAAAATAGATAAAATAATGGTTAAAATACACTATAAATTTAGGGAATAATAATAAACGGGGATAAAATACACTATAAATTTAGCTAAAATTTTGTTGAATATGAAGTTTTAGAGATTATTGATACTAATAAGAAAAATTTTATTTGCCAGATGAATGCCTTTTAATATAAAAAAAATATTGATAGTGTCAAAACAAAGGTAGTGGTATTATTAAAACAAACTTTTAGATATTTATATAATAGAATATTAATATTTTGTGTATTATGTGCTTTTTTTTTATATTTTATTTATGAATTTACTGAACTGTTTATACATCCAAATAAATAATATTCTAATGCTTTTTTTTAAACTTAATTTATTTATTATTTTTGTAGGTACTAGGAAAATTTCCAGTTATCCAGCATGTTTTATTTGGAAATATTCTTCCAATTAAAAAAGATGAACTTATAAAATGAACTCATCTAACTGATGCTGTATTTTTCTGTTTTAAATGGATGTAAATAATTCTAATTTATGAATTTTATTATAAGTATTGAAATGCAATTGTATGAATCTTATATTTGTGGCACTATTTATTACTAAACTTTGTACTGTCTTCCATGAATTATATCTCATTATGCCAGTTAAATATTTTTTTTTAAGAATTAGTTTCATATCTCATATTATTTTATTTGCATCTTTTGAATTGTCTTATATAATTTGTAATTATGTTAGTTTAAATAAAATTGACTGCAAGTTATTCATCCAATTTATTATCCACCACTAAAAGGTGTTTCACTGGCATTTCTTTGTCTTTCATTATTTCTCACATCACTGTTCAGCCTGTATCTATTAAAATCTGCCTTCTATTATATTGTAATTATATTAACTTAAATAACATTGGCTGCAAATTTGTCCAACCAATTTATTTACATTTTTACAGGGTGTTAAAACATAACTTGAATGCAGCTATTCTAAATATCCTTGCCTAATATTGTTTCAAATGATGAATTCTTCAAAAATCTATGTGCATGTTCTAAGTTTATGAACAGTAATACACAACTTAACAGTTAAAACATAACTTAAATGCAGCTATTCTTAATATCCTGGCCTAATATTGTTTCAAATGATGAATTCTTCAAAAATCTATGTGCATGTTCTAAGTTTATGAACAGTAATACACAACTTAACAGTTAAAACCTAACTTAAATGCAGCTATTCTTAATATCCTGGTCTAATATTATTTCAAATGATGAATTCTTCAAAAATCTATGTGTATGTTCTAAGTTTATGAACAGTAAATTTCGTCTTGTAAATCCAAGATTTCCTTGATTTGTTCTGTATGTTCATCATAACATGTTGCAAAAACATTTATCGAACGTTTTTTCTGGAATGTCTTGAGCCACAACATACTGCATTCACATTGGAGAGGATTTCCTGGAAATTTAAATAAAACCCATTAGAAAATAAGCTAGACACAGTGTGGAAAGATAAATTTATTTTTTAAACAGTGGACAGGGAGAGTTAAGTAGCATTCCTATGACTATTAATTTGTCAAGAGATTTATTTCCAGTTAGATTTTATTGGGTTGTAATGAATTAGCCCTCTAAACCTCTTTGTAGAGGTTGTCATCTTGAAGAGGAGACTTCGCGACTTATATTTGTGATTATGAGGTCTATTCTGATCAAAGATTTGAGCATTTAGGGCAGGAATTTCCAACTTTCATGAGGTCGGGGGCCGCAATTAAAAACAGTCATATGGCAGGCCGCAACTTTATGTTAGAAAGAACATTAAATATTACTGTCAGATTTTTAACAAGTTGTACAAAACAAAAGTATTGAATTACAAATAATAATAAATATTTTCTTGGATGCAAAACCTGAGAAATAAATTGTATTTCACCTTTGGTATGTTAAATTTCACAGAAGCGAAGAAATTAGGGCCGCAATTTTTACAAAAATTTTCGGCACAAAATGACAACTAATATATTTTAGTTTTTGGGGCACAAAAAAAGGCTTTGCTGGTCGCCAGTTGGTAACCACTGATTTAGGGCAATACTGCATTAAGGCCTGGGAACTGCAAGATGTCCCTGATAGGTGTTTGCTGAATTTCATTTCAGCCATAAGGCTTTCTTTTTAATCGTGATTTAGGGTTTGCATACAATAGTTTGCATACTCTTTATTGATGCCCGACCTCTAAATCTATCTATGAATTAGCCCGTTAACTCTCTCACTATTCTGGCAAGTTTGTACAAAAATCTCCCTGCTGAGCATAGTTAACTATTTAGGACAACAATGGAGAAAAACCAGTTCATGAAATCATGGAGAATGTGTAAAATTCTGAAAAAGCCTCATTTATAGAATCGTTAATTTAAGAAAAAAAGTTTTTTTTCTCATACTGAATTTAAAAATTTTTTTTAACAGTAATAGCTTTTAAATTTGGAAACTGATTTTAATTTCACACTAAAAGGAATATTCTTAAGTTTTAAGTGATTGTCACGTATAAACAAATCATTATACGAGACAAAAATAAATTAATTTTTCAATGCAATATAATATTCTTTAATGTCTATGTATAATATCTTGATTTATGTTTTGTGATTTAGTTGTACAACATTATTCTATAAAATGTATAAATCTTCAGATAAGTTATATTAAAATACATATACATTATTATGTTAAAATACATAAAAGATGTATTTTAACAAATTAAAAAATATATATCACAGGCTACATGATCACTGATTTCTAAAGTAATATTAATTAATAGAAAATACCATCTACATGTAATAAAGAACTGATTAAAAATACTTGATTAGTTTTTGTATGTCAAACAAAGTGTTAATGATATTTTCAATTAAACATCAAATAAGGATCCACAGTAAATAGCATTCTATTATACTATTTATTACTAATAATGATTTTATAACATTTGAAACTCTTGATCATTCTTATAACAGAATTTTGTAATCCAATGACTTAGGAAGACCTGTTCATTTAAAGTCAAATTCAAAAACACTATAAATAATGTATATACGAGATTCAAAATTATCTCTTTATTTCTATGTTTCAAGATGCAGTTTTTAAACCCAAATGTCTTTTTTTTATTAGTTTGGTATTTAACAGTTTTCAAAAGTTCAGAAAATTTACAAGAATCAAATTAAAATTTAAAAAAAAGCGTATTTGATGAAAATTAATATTTTTGTGCAGTTTACGGGAATTTTTTTCTATAAATTAAGTGTGTGGTCTATTTTTTTAATAGAAATTAGCGTTTTTATATATATTTTATATAAATATATATATTTTTTAAAATGAAAGATACATACTTTCTGCCAACAGATGATTCAGATGACTTTGTAAAGGTGTAAACAAGGATTCATCTAATGTAGAAAATTGGTTCCCATTTAACATTAATACTTGTAATTTCGGCATGCCGCTGAAAAAATTTGGTTCCAAGTTTTCAATTTGCGTATTTCTATGAGAAAAAGAAAATGTTATTAAGCATAGGTTAATATTATCAATAAAGGAATTGAACTCTTGATTTATTGAAAAAAAAAAAAGAAGAGTCAGCCATAAACATTACCATTGATAGTTAATTTAACATGGTTCATTTAGGTGTTTGTATATTAAAATTACGAGTACCTGTGCTTTAAAAGTATTGGTTGCAGACCCCCAATAATTTAAGTCAATTATTCACTTAGCATACCAATTGAGAGTGAATGAATAAACCCAAAACATGCAGTTTTTGGAAATTACTTAATTTTTCGAAGTCATAAGAACCACATATTTGAACTAAAATAACCCCACAAAAATTATTCTACAAAGTTGTAAATGATGCCGAAAATTTCTCTAGGTATCATCTAAAATTCAATAAATTATCATTAAGGTTCCCCTTCTGTTAGAGAAAGAATATTTCACCTCCACCACCTACAGAAAATTATGCCATCCCCTCCGCAGAGGATCAAAATTGTGATGGCATGTCTTCGGATCATCCGCCGGGATGTTTCCCAGACCGTCGCCAATAGCCCATTGTGCAGCTCTAGTGCGACGTAAAATTAACAACAACAACATGAAATTTTCAAACCCTTGAGACTTGAGCCGCGATGGCTCAGGGGATAGAGCGTTTGCCTTCCAATGAGGTGAACCGAGGTTCGATCTCGGCGATGGCTGGTCGATACGAGTTCCGCATCCGGCCTTCACCGACCACAGTGCTGACGTGAACTATCTTGCCGTTAGGCTAACCGTGGGAGGTTCTCGTGGTTTTCCTCTTCATGTAACGCAAATGCGGGTTAGTTCCATCAATAGTCCTCCACGAAGGCAAATTTCTCCCTATACTTGATACAGGAGTTCCCTTGTCTTCTTTGGGTTCAAAATTACAGGGCTGCGGAGTTGAACATTAGTAGTTGTAAACCCAAAAAATTGGGTCAGCTGAGCCCGTATCCACGTGTTCATTGGTTCGATACCCGCCAGCCGAAGACTCCCCGTGTAGTAAATGGAGACTGATTCACGCTAAATCTGTCGAGTCGCAAAGTCCGCCATGTTCCCATAGCAAATCAATACCTTTGTGGGTTATTCAGGAGTTTCCTTGTCTCTTCTGGATTGACTCAAAATTTCAAGGCTACGGAGTTGAACATTAGTAGTTTTAAACCCAAAACTGGGTCGGCTGTTCATCGAAGGATGTAAATTTTTATATTAAACACTTGAGACAACTCATAGAAAGAAAAGAATACTAATTCAAAGGAATGTGATCCTAGTCTTAGTTTTAATTTTTTCTAAAATTAAATTATCTACAATGAGACTGAAATTTCCTCTCAGAAAATTTTTACCGAAACATTTTCTATTATTTTTGCTGTAAAGTATACTTTCAAGGGTCAGTTCATATGTAAAATCCATATTAAAGCAAAATTAAGCTAAAAATAAAGAGCATGGTTGAAAAAGTTGGATAAGGTAAAAATTTGCCGTTATTGCTGCCCCTGTGGTAAAATATGCCTTCTCAAAGCATAACTTATAATATAAAACTTTTTAGTTCCCATGGATTTGTGACTCAACAGATAAGCTACTTAGGGTTCTAGCTCAAATCCTATCTAGTACATTTGATTTATATTTTTAGATTTCTGAGCTAACAAGATTGATAACTATTTAATATGTTTTATTTGATATATGAATTATATATTTTAAATTTAGATTGATTATTCACAAAATTCCTAGGGAATGACCTCAAGTATGCTAATTAACGCAGACGATATTTTAAGTTACGAAATCAGACACAAAAATCATACTTTAGATAAACATACCTTTTTTCGTTGGATTCGCATTTCTGATGCTAAAATATAGAGGATAGCCGTAATCTGGGAAATAATGGTCCCCATAGTTTGGAGCCCTTAATACTAATTTTATTTTTTGTGTATTTCACCGTATCTCCTGACTTTTTTAAACAAATTAAAGAATTTTAGCACAGAATTATAAAATTTGTTTAACCAAAGAAAATTCAGTGTGAAAAATTATTTTTAATAATTATTTATTATTACAAAATTTAAAGTAGCGTACGTTTTTTAAAAGATAGACTACAAAATTCTTTAATTTACTTTTTATTTATTTTTCCGTTTAGTTATTATTATTTTTGCCTTGTTTCAAGTTTTAGGAATTCGATTGAGTTTATAGACAAAAATGCCTTAAAAATAAACTTATTACTTGACCTAGTTAAGGGCAGAAAATTTTCCTAAATTAACATTATTAAATGAAAACTTTAAAAAAAAAAAAATTCTGAATCTTCTTATTTACAAAAATTAAAAGAATAACGCTGTTGTAATCCATTTTTTTCCAGGGAAGACCACAAAATTCGTAATAATTTCTTAGTGGTATGTTATTTTAATGCAACTCATTATTATTATTATTTTACATTATCAGAGATCTGACTTGAAATATCTTCAGGGAAGAAAAATCATGGATCACAAAAATGCTCAAAATAAGCAAACGATTTTATTTCAAGCAAGTTTAAGTGATGATGCATTTGAAAATTAATTGATGCCAAGAACTATAATACCTTATATGCATGTATCTTTATGATTGATTAGTAAATAATATTAAAATTAATAATTTTGAAAAATTTTAGCAAAAGATTTTTTTTTTTTTTTTAAAAAAAGATCTTTGATCTGGCAATATTAATTTTGTCTTCTTTCATGCTTTAAAAAATGTTGTCTGATGAAGAATGAAGAATGTTTGGAACGTTTTTTATTTAAAATGCTATTAAATAATTTTATTTTACACCCTAGGAATAGTAAATCTATATATTACATAAATGAAAAATTTGAAAGATTTTACGTAAGTGTTTTATATTTTTATTTTTTGTTATAATTTAATAAATTATCCGTTTTATTTCTTCTTTATTAATTAACATAGCCTTAGTTAACGTTAGGGAAGATATTTCGAATTTCAAACAGCTTTCAAAATATTAGTCAATAACAATTTAAAAAGCTTATTGTGTTAAAAAATGCTGTTTTTTTCATCCTAAAATCATCTTGTTCTAGTAAACTAAGTTTATTAAAAGACTTTTGTTACAAATAATTATACTTTTGAACAACAGCGTTTAGCAATGTTATTTAATTCTTTTTCGTATCAAATAATTGAATATTAATAATTGGGTATAATATGAAAAAAACACAACTACTTCCACTTCGAAAATTTTACTAGGAATAACATTTACCATTTAGTTTAATTAATAAGCTGATTTTTAAATATGTTTACTAAATTCATAAACTTAGATAAAACAACAAAATAAATTATTTCAAAAGGAACTAGACTAATACAATTCCAACCTCCCGAGTAGCAACTTATAACAACACACTTCGTTTAATGTTTGCTTGGTGCTATAAATCAGGTTCGCAGAAAATGCTGTTTCCTAGTTAAATTTAGTAGGAATAACACGACCTGTGACGTAGGCTATAGTATACCCAATTGAAGCACAAAGTCCTAAGTTATATGAATTTTCCTAAATCAAAAAATTTTCACTTTTTGTAATACGACCAGCTCTTTGTCTTTTGTGATGTTATATTCAGAAATCATTACCACAGTAAAGTCCCGAATAACGACAATTTACAATAGCAGATGGAATTATCGTTATACAGCACTTATTGTTATAAACAGAAGTACATATTTAGTGTTAGAATAACAATAAAAAAAGACTTGAGTTTAATAATGTGCAATAGCTCTTAAAGTCATTAATTGCTCTGAATGTTTATTATAATAGAAAGCTGTCAAGAAGGGAAATGAGGGGGGGGGGGTCAACAAAAGACTCATCCTTTTGAAATGTTCAATAGAATTCTTTTTAAGGAAGACTATAACTTGTCCTGTGATCGCCTATTTATGTTTGCATTTTAAACATAAAGGGCTAAAATGCAAGATGAAAATTAAGTGAATTGCTTCGAAATAAATTGTCCAAATATCAGAAGACTAGCAATTTAACTATTTACACCAGAGGTCGCCAAAGTGGTCTATATAGACCCCCAGGGGTCTATTTAACAAAAGCGGGGGTCGATCTGAGACAGGGGGGCGAATGGGAGTCGATCCGAATCGGAAGGGTCGATTGTGGGTCGAGAAAAAAAACAGATCTCAATACGCAAATCACACATACCTAATTAAGTATGTAAAATTTGTGAATTTTTTTTATAATTGACTCAATATCAGTTTCTTTATAAAACATAAATTAATAAACGTATATTTATTGGGGTGAAACAAGTATGTACGTACCACCGCGCAGTGGCACGAACTCAGCGCAGTTTATAAGTCATATGCATAT